GGCGAAATGTGTGAGGAGTGAGAGAGAGGCGGGGGGGGGGGAGGTTGTATTTATATTTTTTTACTTCAATATATACTTTTTTACTTCTATATATACATAAGTTATATTTGTATTGCTTATAGAATATTTGTATATCTTAAGGTTTATTTACACAGTATCCTAAAATAGTTTTTATTTTTAGTATTAAAAATGGGTATGCTGAAATTGGTAGACAGGTCCCGCTTAGGACGGGGTGAAATTAATTCATATAAGTTCGAGTCTTATTACCCATAAATATTATAATAGCATATTATTCTATAAAATTTACATATTTTAATTTATTTTTTAATATGTTTATCATTATTAATATGTAGTAGACTAATGGTAAGTCATAAATTTTTGGTATTTACTTATGGGTGTTCGAATCACCCCTACATAAAAAAGGTGGATATAGTTCAATTGGCAGAACAACTGTATGTGGCACAGTAAGTTCCCTGTTCGATTCAGGGTATCCTCCCAGTATAGTGTTACAGATAGGGTTGTTATTTAATGTGCTATATATGTCTATATACTTTTATACACGTTTATTGACTAACATAGTTTACCTATTACATGTGCTATAAAATATACTTACACCAATATGGATTAGATAGGAAATATATTGTTGTATGTTATACAATAATAAGCCAGGATAGTTCAATCGGTAGAACATTAATTTCATGCATTAATAGTGGGAATTCAAATTTCTCTCCTGGCTCGCGTAAATTACTTTATACTATTTGTGTTATCTTCGTTTCACGAAGACACACTTTTTAATTGTAAAAAAAAGACAATAATATTGTTTTTAAACTTGTGATACAAATGTAATTCATCCTAATATTATAATATTTAATATTTTTAGGATAATAGTAGGGAAGTCCAGTGATTTAAATATAGCTTTTTAAAAAAGTGAGGTAAAAGCTTGGGTAATCCACAGAAATTAAGATAATAAAAACTTTTAGTTTTTTATTATAACTATGAAATAAAAAGCCTTAATTAATCTTTATTTTAGTTAAATATTACGTACATGACCCGGCTTACTTGTATCCAAGTTATATATCTTATGTTGTCTTAAAATATAAATATATTCAAAAAACCTTAGGCTACTAATTCTAATAGATAGTATAGCAAACATAACAAATTAGTAACGTAAAACAGTAGCATGTTGTACAGACAATTCAATTTTTTTTCAAAAAAAATGGTATTCGATTTATCACAAAAAAGAATTTTTTTTCATAGTTTAATTGTGTTATGAATTTAGACATATTTGGTAAAAGATTAATTTTTATATCTATTTTTTTTTCAAAAAAAAAATGGTATTTTTCTTTCAAGTTATTTCTTTTTATGACAACATTATATTATAATTAATAACTTGTTCTCAGTTTTCCATATTTATTATTTTGTAATAAATACAGCTGAGCTGATACGATATAACAATTCATTATAATACACATTAAAGGTTGAGTACAACTTTATTTTTTATTAAAAACATCTCTTACTTACTATTATAGAGTATTTTGTATATTATAAACGGGTTAGAGCCAGGTTGGTTAGGCGCCTCATTTGAGTTGAGGATTTGTTATGTTTGAATCATAATAACCTGAAATGGGATTTTTTTTTTAAATCACTTTTATATAAAAATATATAATAGTATATTTGATTTATTATATTTGATATTTAATCTATTATTTGAAATTTAATCTATAATTTCATAATTTTATTACCTTATATTTTTAGATTATAGGTTATAAGGATTAACTTTATGCCTAGTACATATTAAAAAAAACCTTTTTTTTATGGTAACACTTTTTTTTCGGAACAATTTTATAAAATTTATACTTGTAGTAAACATCATATAACAACATGAAATACATCACAATACTTAGCCCACTAGACCAGTTCGAAATTAGGAACTTATTTAGTATTGATACACCATTATTAGCAAACATGAACCTATCTATAACTAATATAGGGTTGTACCTGACTATTGCTGCTTTCATTACTTTCTATTTTAGTATTTTAGCAACTAACCACTCTAAAATAACTCCAAACAAATGATCTTTAAGTCAAGAAACACTATATGCAACTATACATGGTATTGTTGTAAGCCAAATTAATAATAAAAATGGTCAAGCTTACTTTCCATTTATGTATGCATTATTTATTTTCATTTTAATAAACAATCTAATAGGAATGGTTCCTTACAGTTTTGCCTCAACATCTCATTTTATCTTAACATTCTCACTTAGTTTTACTGTTGTATTAGGTGCAACAGTTTTAGGATTCAAAGAGCACGGATTAAAATTCTTCTCTTTATTTGTTCCAGCTGGTTGTCCTTTAGCATTACTACCTTTACTTGTATTAATTGAATTTATCTCATACTTAGCTAGAAACGTATCTTTAGGATTAAGATTAGCAGCCAACATATTATCAGGTCATATGCTTTTAAATATCTTAAGTGGATTTACATACAATATTATGAGTTCTGGTATCATTTTCTTTATCCTAGGATTATTACCATTAGCCTTTATAATTGCATTCTCTGGATTAGAATTAGGTATTGCCTTTATACAATCACAAGTATTTGTGGTATTATCTTGTTCATATATTAAAGATGCTCTGGAATTACATTAAAGATTAACTTTTTTTTCATATATTTTTTTTTTTATTTATACCTCTTTAATTATTTATCTATTAAAGATGCTTGGAATTACATTAAAGATTAACTTTTTTTATCATATATCACAATATATGAAAAAAAAAAAAAGGGGTGTGTTGCATAGGGCTATGCATTTTGATTGCAGATCATAAATATAAGGTTCAACTCCTTCATATCCCTAGGTTATACCTATCAGTATAATATTTTTATAAACCAAACTCTTTTATCCTCCCCGCAAGCTTGCGGGGAGGATAAAATAAATAAATAAAAAATAGTGTAGTATTTGAACTCACCTGTACAAAATTTTTCAGAATAATTTAAAGGCAATAGTTACTTACTCTCTAATTTTTTTTTTGGGGGGGGGGGGGGGGGGGGGGGGGAAATTTTAAAATTACCCTTTAAATAGAGTGAGTTTTAATAATTCTAATAAGGGCTAAGGGGATTTTATAAAATATTGTATTTTATACACATCTCTAAGCC